CAATCTCAACCTCTCCTCTTATCTCTGTGAACCTGCTCCATCAATCATTCCTATTCTCAGTCTCTTCTCAGGTACCCTTTATCTCTCCTCCCATTTATTGCCCAATTTCCTAGATGGATCAGTATACCTTTGTTTTCTTTGCTTATCAGCAATTACAGCTTTACTCCTAAACCTCTTGTAATCTGTTTTCTGTTCTCACCACTCTACTCAATGACCTATATCAGCATTACTAATGACCACCTTATCACTAAATAAAAAACACTTCCCCCCACTTCCATTTTTATTTTCCTTGACCTCTCTGAAGCATTTTGGAACTGGTAGTCCCATCCTCCCTGTTACCCTCTCCCCCTTTGGTTCCATGAGGCTACATTATTATAGTTCTCATTCCTATCTCTCTGATTGCCCCTTTCTACCCCCCTTTGTTGGTTCTTCATGCTCCTCCTACCCTTTAAACCTCTTCCAAGGTACACTTTTTTTCTCTTTTCCCCTGTCCCCCTCCCTCTCCCTCCCCTCCCCCTCCCCCTCTCCCTCCCCTCCCCCTCCCCCTCTCCCTCTCCATTAAATTGAAGCTATCTAGGAGTAGGGTCTGGGTCACATCTATCTTTGCATCCCTACCATCTTGATTATACGCCTTGATTATAGCAAGTATTTAATAAATGTTTGTTGAGTTGGTGTCTCTGTTGAATAAACAATGCTTCCTTTCCCTAGATTAGATGAAATTGCTGAAGGGGGAAGGTGTGGTTTTCCAAAGATTATCCCACATCAACTGACCATTTTAAGAAGGAGGAATATAAATGCTAATATGGACCAGATTCACTTCTAATAATTCTAATAGGCTCATGGAAGAGTCATCATTGCGTACTGAGCTAAATGTAGATGGGATCATCATCATCAGAAAGCAACCTAACAGATCAAATTCTTTTTGGCCGTGACATCTTACAACCAACGTCAATGAAGTCACTGGAAAACTTGGGTCTCTAGTAGGGGGAGTTCCTACACAGATCAAAGCACCGATGCTTGTAGTCTAATATTTAGAGTTAGATTTGGCAGGAGTCTTAGAGATCATTTAGTTTAATCTCTAACCAAAACATGAATCTTGTTTACACATCCAGCCTTTGCTTATAGACATCCGTGGCCAGGAAAATTGTCACCCAAACATCCATGGCCAGGAAAATCATCACCTCCAAGAAGGTTTATTCCATTTTTAGAGAGCTCTATTTTAGGAAGGTTGTTTTCTTCTCTTTATTGATCTGAAATCTTTGTAACTTCCATCTAGGGCCATGAAGAGAAGTCTATTTCCTCTTCCACGTTGCAGCTCTCCACAAATCAGAAGACTCTCATGTCCCTTCCAAACTGTCTACTTCGGGCTAAATATTCTCAGTTTTTTTTGAGTGGTGGCATGAGTTTAGGGCCCCCTACCATTTTCTTCCAGGCCACCTTCCCCTGGATACAGCCCTGCTGGTCAATGCCACTTGAAAAATACAACACCCCAAACTGGACATATCATTCCAAAGTGGGGTTAAGAAGGCCAGAATATAGGGGGATGGTCACACTCTGCACACTCTGGTCCTGCACAACAAGTCAAAGCTTTTTGCCTGCCGGCTTCTTCATACTGGTGACTCATGTTGTAGCCCACTACTACCCTTAGGCCTTTTTTCATGTGAATTGCTTTCCCTTCGTGGTTTCTACCCTGTAATCTACTGTAGTATTACCCAGTACTTCTAAATGGCTCACAATGTCAACAATTCGGTATATAGCTATGTTTAAAAAACCAAGTTGAGATTATCTAGTTTTGAACTAGGCTGACAAGTTCCTGTGTGTTTTTCCTCAAAGCTAGACTCCACATTCGGCTCAGAAAAACACACATACGTGAAAAGGGCTTCAAATTTATTGTTTAAGATAGTGTCTGATTTAAAGAGCAGCAACAAATCTAATAAACTTGCTGCTGGCCAAAAAGGTTCGTGTTTCCTGTAGGCCAAGCATTGAAGATTCTCAATACTTTACTTTTTCATTCCTACAAGAACCCAACATTTTGAGAAATGCTTCCTCCACCAATGTTGATATTTGGAGGGAAGAATTTTATTTTGAAAATGGCCAAAAACAACTTCAACATCACCTTATTGAGTCAGATTTAGGAAGTTAGATCAGCAATTTCAATGATCACATTCTTATAATGAAGTTTATGTGGGATGACATATCACAGTTATTAGTACAAAAGGACTGGTTCCATGTGTCTCCCTACCAAGAAAGGAATCATAGTGGTGACAAGGAGACGATTAAATACATTTACCCCAGAAGTTCAATATAAAAAAAGGGAACATTTTACATTAAACCTTAACTTAATTACCCTTGGTTCCCTTCACTCAAGGAATGTCTCTCCAATTTGACATTTTATTTGCAATAAGAAAATGATTTTATTTTATGTCAAGTTGAGAAACTGAGATTTACTGTACTTTAAGAATCCCAACTTTTAAATAGATTTTTTATGTATGAAAAGCACAAAAGGATAAATAATAAGGTAGCAAAGAATAATGCCTTGCTATCTGTTCTCATCAACATGAATCTAAGAAATTATTAAATGTCTAAAGCTAGCTTTAAAATGAAATGAAAATGGAAATTAGTGCTATGTAAGGGTTGTGTTGTAAACAATATTTATTAAGTTACTGTGATTTGCCATTTTCAATGGAGAATAAAACTGATTCACTTAAAATTCATTTTCTTTTCTTTTTTTTGCCTAATTTTGCCTTGCATGTGGTATAGACTTAGAATGTTTAAATCAAAATCTAGCAATCTAGTTCCTCTAGCTCATATCTCCTATTTGATTGCTCAATCAATAAAAGACCATATTGTAATTTCATCTATGCCGAAATTGTCACAAATGAGGTCTATTTCTAAATTTTTGTTGTTGTTCAGTTGCTTCAGTTGGGTTTGACTCTTTGTGACCCCATTTGGGATTTTTTGGCAAAGATATTGAAGTTGTTTGCCATTTCCTTCTCAGGCTCAAACTGCGGCAAACAGGGTTAAGTGTCTTGCCTAGGGTCAGACAGCTAGTAAGCGTCTGAGGCCAGATCTGAACTCAGGAAGATGAGTCTTCCGTATTCTATCTGATGCACCACCTAGTTGCCCATGCCTTAATAAATGGCTTAATAAATTGTTGTAACCAAAAAATTGACCACCTGTTGCCCTAAATCTTAATTCTGAGTTTCTCAAACTTAGCCAAGCTGATCCTTGGATGACAGACATATAAGCCATCACCCACTAGGATATCATGGTAAATAGGAAATAGTAGATTTCTATTTCAGTGTCCATAATTGAAGACAACCTGAACTAAATACAGATGGAATCATCATCAGAAAGCAACTTAACAGATGAAATTCTTTTTGGCCATGACAACTCCTGACCAATGTCAATGAAGTCATTGGAAGACTTGGGTCTATAGTGGAGGGAGTTCCTACAGAGATCAAAGCACTGATACTTGAAGGCTAATATTTAGATTTAGATTTGGAAGAGGTCTTAGAGATCATTTAGTTCAATCCCTAACTAAAACATGAATCTTGTTTACATATCCCGCCTTTGCTTAAAGATGCCCAAGACCAGAAAAATCGTCATCCCCAAGAAAGTTCATTCCATTTTCAGTCTCTATTTTTAGGAAGTTTTTTTTGTTGTTTCTATTTCTCTATGTAGCTACAGTTGAAAATATATGATTAAAAGTCTCTTCTACTCTTTGACATAGCGCTAGCAGAATATGTGAACACACAACGGAACTGTATAAGCAACTCCTGTTATGGGAGCTCACTTCCCCATTGCAGATGTGTGTACACATAGATAGAGACAGACAGATATCTATATATGCATGTATACATACATATGTACATATCCATATTTATATACACACATACACACCTATATATGTGTAGATACTATATAAATACAGAGATCAAAAGATACACACACACATACAGGAAACACACGTGTATATATATGTGTATCTTAGTGAGCTAATTAGGTCCATAAAACTATGTGGTCAGACTAGGGTCACATCGTTATTAAATGTTAGGGGTGGTTAAACCCAGGTCTTCCTGATTCTAAGCCTAGGGCTCTATCCCACTCTACCTTGCAGAATGTCTATGCTATTTTTTCAGTGTTTTGTCTCTTCTTCTGCCCAGATATGTGACCATGCTATTATATAACTACAATCTGTTACTTACCCTCTTATCTCTACTTGAGCCATAGTGCTGACATTGATTTGCAGGCTCACGGAATTGCTGTCTGGATTATCTTTGTTGGAACTAAAATACAATAACACCGAAGTTAATTACTATCCTAAAGAATAGTAACTAAACAATACAGTCCATATTTTAAAAAATCAACAGGGAGAAGTGGCTTGAGCATTCTAAAAAATCTTATTTGAATATGAAATTATCTTTTAAAGGTCAAGACATTTCAGTACTTAACACACACCGAAAAATGACTTATCTGAAAGCATTGTAAATGTCAGGAGGTGAATTAGTCTTTGGAATTTTGATAGGAAAGTGACTAGATAGAGTTTGCCTTCCGGGATCTACTAGGCAGATACTTTCACAAATCTGTGCATTATTTCCATTGTCTGTTATATAAAAGATTGCCCAGTCAACACTTGGTTTTCATGCTAATGGTATGGATATCCCTAAAGAAGTACAATTGTTAAAAAGCATTTACATAGGGATCTTGAAAAACATGATATTATCTACTCTTCTAATGGTAAATTTACTTCCATGGTCCAGTAAGAAGATTCTTGGCTCTGGAGTCAGAATACCTAGGTTCTGGTAATAATAGCACACACCTCCCATAGTGGTCATCAGAATAAAATGAGATACGTATAAAGCGCTTGGCAAACTTTACAATGCTATACAAATGCTAGCTACTGTTGTTGTCGCTACATCCCATTCCTGGTGCTCATTCCCTATGTGACTTTCAGCAAGTCACATAAACTTCCTGGGCTTCAGTTTCCTCATCTGTAAAATAAGGGAATAGGACAGCATGGTTGCAGAGGTCAGTTTTAGTTGCATATCTGGATCCTATTTCTTGAGTTAATATTATCTCCACATCCACTCTCTGGGTACATGGGAAACGTGGGCTTAAAGTATATTAGTTTATAAAAAGAAGCCAGATTGGGTTGGAAAACTGCATCGTCTATGCTCTGACAATAAAGCAATGAATTGTCCGTGACGTGCTTCGAGGATCTCAGGTGAAAAACACACTTTTTTGTAATTAAAAAATGACAGTAAAATCATTCTTATATTTGTTGATATTTTCTCAAGCAAATTAACCTCGGGAAAAATTTCCTTCTTAACACCCTCCCCCCAACCAACCACACATACTTTAATAAAAGAAGCATCAAAGCTACAAAGAAGACGGGTAGAAGAAATTAGAGCATTTACTGAACCAAATGTATTTATTTCCTATTGTTGTTGTTAAGTTGTGTCTGACTTTTTGTGACCCCATTTGGGGTTTGCTTGGAAAAGATACTGGAGTGGTTTGCCATTTCCTTCTCCAGCTCACTTTACAGATGAGGAAACTGAGGCAAACAGGGTTAAGTGACTTTCCCAAGGTCACACAGCTACTAAGAGTCTGAGGCCAGATTTGAACTTAGGTCTTCCTAACTCTAGGCTCCAGCACTCTAGCCACTGTGTCAGCCTAGCTGCCCTAATTTATTTTCTACCATACATTAAAATTAACACATTATCTACAACCTGCAATTGCATGGGCAGATTGAGAATGTCTTACAGTCTGGCTGCCTCCCAGGGAGAACTACTTGGGTTTTTGTTTGGGATTCCAAGATTAGAAAGAGTGATTTAGAGAGAAGTAGTATAGGATTGAACGCCCAGTGAACAGGGTTTCTTCTGGTTGGCTTTTTAAAGCTCTCTAAATTTAGAAGATGGGAAGAATAGGATAAAATTCAACAGAAACTCTCAAATGGGGGAAAACGTCATTAAAATGTGCTTCTTTTTTTTTAACATCCTGGTCGACCACATGTACTGATAAGGCAACCTAAACTACAAACACAAGGGTGAAACAGAAATTGGCAGATGGCGGGCTCAGTTTCTGTAGTGGGCTAATACTAGTATGAGCCTAGAGGAACTTGCTCACCACTATCTGAACCCCTGTTACCATACTGGCCTATTATGATCACATCTGGGGAGCATCAGTTAGCTAGGAAGGTCGATTTTTCAAGGACATCATTGGGAATGACTAACCACTGAGGAACAATTAACAATTTTGCTGGATGCAGGCTTTGTGGTTCTGAGTTTCTTCTAAGTCATGGGCAATGCTTTAGTTGGCAAACCTGAGTCTTCTAAGGAATAGCTACACTTTCTTCTATTTCCATGGTAGCGGAAAACACAGAGATTGAATTGTAAGGGCAATGCTTATGTACGTAAGTGTGTATTTCAATTGTGTCTTGCTTCCAACTCTTTTAATTGGCAATGTCATATTCTTCATAATACGTGGCAATGTAAACAGGCATCAGGTATGGAATCCATTTTTTAACATGAAGTATATATTGACTTTCTAGAAATACAACCAAGTCAATCAAAGCCTGGAAACCAAAATTTCTGATCCTCTGTCCAAAAATCACCCTATATCACAGCAATTCTATGATATTCTACAGTATGGATTTTCTAGGGAAGTTTGTAACTGAATCCAGTAGTGTTTAACAAAACCTCCTCATAAGAAAGGAACCACAATTAACATGTACAGTTTGTATACTTTTTTGACTGTTCTCTGAACAGCAAGCCTCCCTTGCTAATACTGCTGCTATATTAAACAAGTAATCCATCATTGTCTATGGTATAGTGCTATTTATACTTTCTGCTCTATTTCTAAGCAAATTAATGGTGAACTTCCTCTATAGGAATACATCCTGGTATATGCCACGGGTAAATATGTTTTTCAGTTATTCTTCTTCTAATCTTCCTCACCACTCACCATTTCCTTTCTGTTCCTCTGTCCCTGTCTGTCTCTTTGTCTCTCTCTTTCTCAGTCTCTATCTCTGTCTCCTTCTCTCTCCTTCTTCTTTCCCTCCCTCCTAAAGGTACCATTCAGCCTTCTAAGATTCTTGACCTTTTGATTATATCAGCCAATAGGATTCAATGTATAGCTTCTCATCTGGTGAAGAAAAAATGGATAAGATGATCACATGGGCCTGTTATATACATAGGAGACCCTACTTATGCAGAGAAGCAAATGCTTTCATGTATCATAGAGCAAAAGCAGTGGTAAGGCCTTTTAACTTAAACATATGGTAACTCAAAAAAGCTCCAAGTTAATGACTCTGAAAGCCAGTTTTCCTCTTGTTGGAAACTAGGATTCCATATGTGGGGATCAGCATCCAGGAGTGCCCCCTTGAGAGTCGAAATTTGATTCTGAGATTTACTTTACTTTGCATTTGGTTGAACTTGTTTAAGCTAAAATCAAACCATTTTACTACAGTCTTATTTGCCTCTTTGGGATCTATCAGAATAGTAGGTTGGTGAGAGTTCATTTCTCTCATAACAATTAAGTGCGCAAGTGATTTCCTGGATTCAAAATGTGCCTTAAGTGTTTCCTAGGGCTTTTTAACCAAATCACAGAATAGGAGCCAGGAAGGGACTTGGACAGTCACCTTGTCCAACCTCCATTTCACAGATGAAGAAATTGAAGGGCCAATAACTAGGAACAGAGTGACCAGGAGTCCAGTCCTTTTTTGATAATTCCACGGTTGTCAATATCATGTTTATTTTTTTTTCATTTTTCAAGACAATTCTTAGATGGCAGCACACTGCTATAGCATTTAAATAAGAAAAGAAGATCAAAACAAATTCTTTTAGGTGAAAGTGAATGTGAAAAAATATCTATTCTGTTTTCAGTTTTCAATTTTCAATTTGGCACTAGGTGAGAGCAACCATGATCAAAAAAAGGACAACTTTCTACAGAAGGGCATTGGGGAAGGCTCCTAGAGTGAATGATCACTCAATCAGACCTATCAATAGCACTGCTTATTATACACAAAGTGCTGCAATTACAAGCGAGAAAAAAGGACAAATTAATTTTCTTTTTTTTCTTTCTTCCTTACTAAATGGAGCTCTGTTTTGTTTTTGGTTTTGTTTTTGTTTTTTTTCTCCAAAGCACTACTGATGAATAGGAGAATAGAATCCAATAGTGTCTATTCAGGGAAGCAGAACTCCATGAAGCTGCTTTGGTTAAAACTGCAGACGACAAGTGGAGTAAAAAAACAGTTCATGATGTAACTAGGAGATAAATTGCAGTTTTATAATATATGACACTTCTTGGACCTAGACTGAAAATGTATGTTTCCTTATGCACTCTGGCAATTTAATAAGATAAGTGGCGAATGCTCACCCTCTGCACTTGATCACCAATACAAAGAAGAAAATGACAACAAAAATGTAGGAAGATCTTACTGACATCCAGTGGAAAGGGGATATAAAATGAGGTATAATGTTCCTTCACACTGGGAATTATTCACAATTGCACAGGAACCCAATGGTCTTGGGTGCAGTCCTGATCAAACACCCTCATCAGATCCATTCCATCCTCACTGGTTCTGTATATTTCAATGCTCTTCATCAAATGAGTTCTATTTTCTTTCTCTCTCTCTCTCTCTCTCTCTCTCTCTCTCTCTCTCTCTCTCTCTTTCCCATTTGGGGTTAAGTGACTTGCCCAGGGTCACACAGCTAGTAAGTGTCAAGTGTTTGGTCTGAGGTCGAATTTGAACTCAAGTCTTCCTGACTTCAGGACCGGTGCTCTATCCACTGCACCACCTAGCTGCCCCTATATTATTTCTTAAGCAATAGGAACAATACCTGTGATTTCATTGGTAGAGGGAACACCCATGTGAGGAAAGTCCCTCTGCCAATGGAGGTCCACACCTTCTCTAAAGCTGGCTCAGAGATATGCCTAGAACACTGAGAGGTGAAGTCACTAGCCCAGGGTCACACAGCCATGATTTGTCAGAATGTACCCTTGAACTGAAATCTTTCTGGCTTTGAGGCTGACTCTCTATCTATTATACCATGAATTTCCTTGGAAGAAGGGTGCTGACTCTAAGGAAATTCATTATATAGTAGTCACATAATTCACTGTACGGGATCCAAGTTGAAAATCTTGGCTCCATGGTTTTGTTTAAAGCTAAATGAAAGTTCTAGGCCACTCTATTAGCTGCATAATCTGGGGCATGCAGGGAAAAGGGACTGGCCCTTACTCATCATCAATAAATACTGATCCAGTGAATGGCCCTGTTGAGGTGTTGCATTGCTCTTGGGTATACATTCTAGCATGGTGTTCATTCCAGTTTTAGGATGAAAGAACTGGGTAGAGGGAAAAGGAAGAAATTCAAATAAACTCAGAGACATGAAAAGGACCAGTCTTAGTAGTAAGAAGCAGAGATATCTGGCTGTCTAATGTTGAGATCTGGGGGGTGGTCAGGGAAGCCTCTCAGTTTTTTTCCTTCCCACATTTATCATGCTATCTAAAACTCTGCCATCAAATACTCATTCTTTCATGTCTTAGAGGTTTTGCTTGACCTTAATCTCTCCTATTAAAATGAAAATACTACCCGGGAAAAGGTCATGCCATCAGTTATCATTTATTTGACTAATAGTTGGCTGGGTTCAAGGTAGATGCTTGGAAGGTTGGGGTACCAGGATAGGGAAACAGGGAAGAGAAATGAAAGGAGAGAGAGGCAGACTGTCTACTTCATAATCTGGCCAAAGACTGGTCCTGACAACGAGATTCCTTTCTTCCTCTGAGATATATGTAATAGCTGACCGGGGCAAGGAATGGTAACTGTTAGAGTGATCCATGGGCTGGTCCCCTAAGTCAATTCAACCACTACAGATAAATATTGAAAAAATGCCTTTATTAATACAGTCATCGAAGTGGGGAAATTCCTAGAGATCCAAGGGTCCTTAGCCTTTTTTTTTTTTTTTTAAATCATAGACCCTTTTGACAGTATGGTGAAGCCTATGGAGTCCTTCTTAGAATAATGTGTTTAAAAGCACAAAATAAAATGTGTAGGGTTACAAAGGAAACCAATTATTTTGAAATACACTTATCAAAATATTAAAGGATCCAAATTCACAGAGCACCACGGACTATCCATGGACTCCAGATTAAGAACTATCTTGGACAGGTAAAGAAAGTTTTGACCACTGTTTCAGAAAAGTTTTTAAAAGATGAATAAAATAAAACAACAAGTGAAGAAGAGTGCTTAATCCAAAAGTTCATAGTCCTTTAACTTACCTTCTGATTTGGAGATCAAAGTCAAGGCTCGTATTGGTATTTTCAAGACGGGGAACAGCAAATCGGAGGCCGAGTGAGCACTAGGAAAGAATCAGATATGAGACTCAGCCGTGACAGGATCCTAAAACTAGAAAGTCATCTTTGCTCCCAGTTTAGGGATGTGTTACACAGTAACCCTGGCAGAAGGTCTGCTATCCAGCTTCTTCTTAAACACTTCTAGTGACAGTGAGCTCTCTACTTTGAAAGGTAGCCTATTCTATCGTTGTCAAGAATTAAAAACAAGACTAAGTAATGGGAAAACCATGAATGATTGACAATATGGGGTTCATGGAATATTATGTTCATAACTAGAGTCAAACACTAGCTTTCAAAAATAACCCTACTTGACATTCTTTTTGTTTTTTGGGTTTTTTGTTTTGCTAGGAAAAAATTGCTTAACATTTCTAAGAAGTTGATAAACCTGTAATGTATTTAGGCTTATTATGGGCATTATTTGCTGCAAGAATGAAATAAGATTTTATATGCACATATGTGTATATATTCACATACATATATGTGTATATATGTGTGTATTACTTAATCAGTTTAACATGTAAAATGTACAAGGTCCTGTAGCAGGCATTAAGAGCAGTACAGAGATTAACATAACATAGCTTCTGCCCTAATGAAAACAACTTTTAAAATACTGGTGTCTGAAATAATACTCCCTTACATTTGAATAATACTTCATGCTTTTAATGGTGTCTTTACCCATAGAATTGCACTGTAATCAATGCACATGGGATCTTTTAAAAACACAAAATAGGCAAGTAAATATACCAAAGTGTCACATGAGAAAACAATACAATGAAATTGGATATGGTGAGGACTATTATAAGGGTAAGATAAGAAAGCTAGCAGTTTTCTGGGGCAGTAATCCTCAGAGATAAACCAATACAAACTACTCTATACCTTGGTCTCTTAAGATTATTTGGGTGGTCAAATGGATTAGCTTCCTTTTTTTTCCCTTTACTTGAAGTCATTTTAACCTTAAAATTTAGCTTTGGGAACATATTCTGTCCCATCTATGCTTCCATTTATGTGATGGTGGCATGACAATTTTTAATCCTCATTTTCTCTACTTCAAGTAAAAAATTTCCCTAAGTTTTAAAGCTCTCACATTATTCTCAGTCTGCATTTAATACTAACACAGGAATTAGAAACTAATGACCTGCAGATGCTGAATAGCAGTGATTTTATTTCTTTCCTGTTTGGTCTTAGTAGGTCTTCTCATTCAAACTAGGTGGCTGAATTTTTCTTGAAATAGTAAGTAGGGGACTGATTAATTGGCTCATAAACACATGCTGCTATGTAGTTTTCTATGCTGTAGTTCAAATATCCTAGTCTGATTATTTACCTTTAAAACCATGGCTTCATGGAATATTGAATATTTGTGTTGTCCTCACAATTTAAGAACTTACTTGAATAATTATTACTTATTAAAAATTTTTCATTTGTTAAATGACATTTGAAATCTCCAGAAAGACAAGCTTGCTGCCTATCCTTACTATTGTTGACTTCATTCCCAGAAGACAATGAATAATGAAGGAGACTTAGGACCTTCTTTTTTTTCCAAGTTGAAAAAAAATAATACAGCACATGGAAATTAGCACAATAAATATAGCACATTTATTAGTTTGCATACAGAAGAGGCACCTCAAAGACCAACTGGGAAATCCTCTGAAATTTCACAGTAAGAATTGAGGAAAGAGAAGTTCCCTAGTTTGCTGTGCCTCAGCAGTATTTGATCTCTTATTCTGATCATCTGATTCCTCTGCCTCCATTTGTGTGTGTGTGGGGGGGGGGTGTGTGGGTGTGGGTATACCTTTTTTTTTTTAAAATTGGAGGTAATCCAAGAAATGAACTCAGACATTTCTGCATTTTTAAAAATTGAGTTTCTAACATAAGTTTTGCAAGTAGAACTAATTCAAAGATAAATATGAATCAGAAAATTGGTTTTCAATGTCAAGAAGAAAGCATATAAAGGCATTTTCCTTTTATGTTTTTGACCCCAGTTCCTTTACTCTCTGTGGAAGATGATGCTAGATCTCACTACTTCAATAATTTCCCATGTAAATGAGCAATTTGTTTTAGCCACTGCTTGTTAAGTAGCTGAGTGCTAATTGAGTAGTTTTCCACTAACTTCCCTTAAAATTCAATTAGATAAAAATCAGCTCCTACACCTGGTTTTCTCTTACATTTGTTCCAGCCACCATAGGGTTCCCCAGGTCACACACCACCATTCTGGTTACGTTGTCCATCTTGTATTCACAGCTCAGTGGGTGCAGAGCCTGCAACAAGGGAGAACGCCAAGACTGAGTCTGGGGGGTCAGAAGACATCATACCCTGGAAACAAGGAAAGCTTTGTGGTTGTGAAAATCCTTTGATTTTAAACACCTGTGTGGGCATTTCTGCACAAAGACTTACTTCATGACTGTCAACCTGCAAGGAGGAAATGGGGAACCTGAAAAGGATGTGGAGGGGGGAAGCATAATTATAGAAATAAATGAGATGGAGGAATTCATCTGTTGTGTTTTGGTGAGAAGAAACAAGTAGCGTGGTATTTACTCAAATGTCTCAAAAAAGATCTCCTATCTCCCAATATGCAGATTCAAAGAATAAAAATAACCTTAAATACTTTGTTATAATAATAATAATGATGATGATGATGATGATGATGATGATGATGACGATGGCAACTCTTGTTCATTTGGGGTTTGAGGTTAACAAAGTCCCTTCATCACAACATTGCTGTCAGTTAGTAGTTCAAAGTGAATGTACGCATCTATGAATGAATACCATGGGCCTATGACATATGTACTTTTCAAAGGGGCTTTCAAAGATGTCAATGTCAAAGTGAAGGTAAGTTTGAAGAGTTCCAATGCCTACCCCAGCTCCAGGGTGGTGGTGGAAGTCACTGGGGATACAAGAGTATATATTCCTCTACTACTAAATATTTGAAAAACTGAATGGTTGGTTAAGTAAACTTAAAAGTAGATTCACGTTGTAAACTGTTCTATAGTCAAGATCACTCTCTACAAATGGCAAGTGAACGTACTGGTCCAGAATAAAGAGGGCTGAGTATGGACAGAGTCAGAGGACTTCGATTTAGATCCCAGGACTGCCCACTATATGTATGACCTTGGGCAAGTCACTTTGTGGGCCTCAGTTTCATCATCTCTAGGACGAAAGAGTAGAATTCAATGATCTCTGGTAATGCTTTGTAGCTCTAAATCTATAGGCTCTTATTATTATATATTACATGTTATACATTTATAGATATATGCTTGTGTTCATTTACATGTTATTATTGTTACTAAGTGATATGTGTCATCAGGTTTCCTCTGGATACTAAGAGCCTGACACACTAGTGCCTTACCCATCCTTGTGAAACAGTTAAAATAATACTGAATTTGGAGTCTCAGAGCTTAGGTTCAGATCCTGGCTCTACTAGTTATACTTCTCTGAGCCTCATAATAATGATAATGATGATGATGATGATGATGATGATGATGATGATGATGATGATGACGACGATGGTAACTGTTGTTAATTTGGGGTTTGAGGTTAACAAAGTCCCTTCATCACAACATTGCTGTCAGTTAGTAGTTCAAAGTGAATGTATGCATCTATGAATGAATACCATAGGTATTATTATTTATTTTAATCTACTATTGTAGTATTTCTGTTCAGCTACAGTCTGAACCAGATGCCCCCTAATGTCCCATGTAGCTCTGAGATTCTATAACTATTGGATCTCTGTTCCATTCTTTCAGAGCCCTACTCTGTGTTAGGCCATGGTCCCAATATCCCAATAGATCCTTGATCTCAATGATGGGTATATTCCTCCCAACAAAATAGATTATTAGCTAAGTGAGTACACTGGTACATGCTACCATGTTCACTGGTGTTGGCTGCCCTCATGGTATTATAATCTCACTGATATGGATGCATGTTACAATCTGTCCATGCCTTCTTACCTTTTACAATTCTTGTATATGTCCCTCTGTAATTTTCATAAAGAATATATTCAATATACTTGAAACTTTCCTTCAGTTTTTAAAATATTTCTTGGATACCAGTATAACTCTTGGACTGTTCAGTAATTATCCATCACTCTTACTGTGGAACAGGCCCATTTTTTTCCTGGCCATACTTATCCTTGATAATTAATGGTGTGCCATTTCTGAAGTCATTTCCTACTACTGCCATCTTCCTGATCACCCAGGCTTACAATGTGGGCATCATTCTCAACTCTTCACACTCTTTCTCACTCCCCTCCCTAAGCAATTTGTTATTTCTACCTTCACAACATACTGTCCCTTCTCTAACATTGTCCCCTACCTTTGTGCAAGACCTCACCACGTCATGCCTGGACCATTATAATAATTTTCTGGTTGGCCTCTCTTCCTCAAGTCTCTTCTCATTCCTGTCCATCTTCTGCTCACCTATCAAAGTGATCTTCCTAATGTGCAAGATTAGGGGCAGCTAGATGATGCAGTAGATAGAGTGCCAGGCCTGGAGTCAGGAAGATCTGAGTTCAAATCTGGTCTCAGACATTTATTAGCTTTGTGACCCTGGGCAAGTCACTTACTCCTGTTTGCCTCAGTTTCCTCATCTGTAAAATGAGCTGGAGAAGGAAACGGCAAACCACTCCAGGGTCTTTGTCAAGAAAACCCCAAATAGGGTCATGAAGAGTTGGACACTACTGAAATTATTGAACAACAACAAAGTTCATGTTTGACCATGGCACTCCCCTCCCCCCACTCAAGAAGACCAGGAACTCCCTATTGCTTCCAGTATCAAGTATAAAATCCTTGATTTGGCTTTTAAAGACCTCCACACCTTCCCTGCTTCCTATCTTTCCAGGGTTCTTACACTTTCCTCTATTCCCTATACTCTATGATCCAGTCACACTGGCCTTATTGCTGTCCCTCATCTATGACATTATCTCCTACTCTATGCATTTTCACTATCTATTCCCCATGGCTGGAATTCTCTCCTCCACCTTTTTCTTCCTTCAGTTCTTAGCTAAAATTCTACCTTCTGCAAGAAGCCTTTCTCAGTTCTCCTTAATGTTATTGTCTTCCCTCTGAGGCTATCTCCAAATTATTCTGTATATATCTTATACATAATTGATTGCATGTTGTCTCTTCTCAAAAGACTGTGAGCTCCTTGAGGACAGAGATTGTTTTTGCCTTTCTTTATATCCTGAGAATTTAGCACAGTGCCTGGCACATAATAAGTGCTTAATAAATGATTTTTGACTAACTAGAGTATCAGGGGAATTTATTGAATAAAGAAAACAAAGGAAAAGAAAATTTATCCACTTGCTAAGAAAATAACAAAAAGCATTAACAAAGTTATTTCTATGTTGTCCCGTACGACTTCATCAGGATTTTCCATTTCTCATGCAACTCTTATCTTCTTTGGTAAACATTTTGATTCTGTCCAGCAGCCAAAAAACAAACAATACATTTTTTATCCTTGCTAGAAACAGTACTCGAGCTTTTTGGCACCTACATCAATCAAAGATCTTTTTTCTCCATTTCTATTTTTTTTTACATTCATTTTCTTTCAATGGCTTAGAATTGTTGAACTGTGGTTTAGGAAAAACAATTCTTGTTTTGATAGATAGCAGTTTTTTTTTTCCTCATTGTTCCAAGGACCCTTTTTTTATTCTTCCATTTTTAGCAATAATCAAGTCATTAGTGCGGGAACTGTAACTTGTTGAGGACTTTGTGATAGTGTAATGAGGTAGGCAATTTTTTTTTTAATAAGCAGCAAAAGAAGAAAGAAATTTGAGATGCCTCAAAATAGTAGCACTCTTCCTTCTCATCAACTAGTCATTCCTCATCTGTGTATGGGATTTGAGCAAATCTCATTCTCCAGTGTCTCACTTGATGCTGTTTGGAAATTGAGATCATTTCATTTATTGTCATCTTATCTCCAGCACCGAGCAGACCCCCGGCACAGAGTAGGCTCTTAATACTTTATGATTTATTGACTTTTGTCTTCATTCTGCTGATCTCCCATTCCACCATCAAGGCCCAGCTTGAGTGATATCATCTCAATGAAGCCTTCACTGATTCCCACAAAAGGTAATGTCGTTTTCTCTCATCTGGTCTCCTTGAATTTTGTACTTTTCATATTAAGATTTTCTCAGGATACTTGGTATGAATTTCTTCTTTGTTCCCATAGTACCTACTTGCATTATGCTTACCTGAGAACATGTCTCCTTCCCCTTGGTATGCTCCAAGCTCCTTGAGGACAGGGATTGAGCCATTAAAAATTGTATCCCCAAGTTTTTGTACATAGTAGGCACTTAACATTTGTTATTACATTCTAGCTTTTAAACCATTAATCTGTGTGTATCTTACCTCTCCCTGCTTGATGATAAGTTCCCTCAGGGTAGAGAGCCTATCTCATTTATCTTTTACACAACTCTCTTTCTCTACCTCCTCCCCCATGCACTGGGGCTAATGGTAGGCACTTAATGCATTCTGGTCGAAATGAGTAAATGAATGTTTTAAATTAATCAATAAATCAATACTTCAATAATGTATCATTTTATTGATGTGCGTACTCTTTCCATAGGTAGATTGCAGCCTCCTTACAACTTAGAAGATAATTCTTGAGAGCTCTCATGGCTGAACCATTCATTACTCTGCTCTCCTCTGGGTAATGAGCCTCCTTGAATTTAGCTAGGCTGCAATTCAGTTACTATACAATCTGTTATCAAGCCCCTATTCCAAAACTTTCCAGCCCTGTAAGAACTATCAGACTACCAGTGTTTGCCCTTAGTTGGCATACGTGGCCTTTGAGAACCCACCGTGACCTCCCCTCCATTATAAGATACCCAAGTAGGACAGTGGAGATAATGCTAATCAAATGTCAAGTAATTACTATTTACCATGTGCACAGCACTGTGCAGATAGACACTAAGGAAGATACAGAGGAGTATTTAAGGCATAGTGCCTGCCCTCAAGGAATGAATAATATAGCTAGGGAGCCAGATATTAGCACTCCACAGCATGCCAAATAACATCCTTCATCTTCTACCATACTATTGTTACCATAACTTTATATCTGTTCCTATGTGTTTATTCCTTTCAACTTTATAAGTGCACTAGATTTATTCTTTTTTTCTTTTACTGTCCTTTTTGTAAAACAAAGAGACACGTGATAGACACTGACAATGAAGGCAGAGGACCTGGGTTCAAATTTTGCCTCTGATGTTTATCTATGTGACCTTGGGCAAGTCATTTAAATTTTCCTGAGGCTGTTTTTTCATCTCTAACATGAAGGGGTTAGAGTAGATGGCCTCTGAAATTCCTTAAGATCTGTTCTCATTACTGTGATTATCCTATAAAAGCTCAAAGAAAAACAAAGTACCTTCACTCCTAGCAAAAATTAGAGGGCAATGCTATCAAAAGGAGGTTTTGTCTTTTAAATGACTCTTAATTAAGGCCTCTGAAATCACACAACAGACTTCATGTTGTTTGAGATGTATTTTTGAACAATAGACAAGTAAAATCTTGGTATCAGATGAAAATTATTTTTCCTTTCTCATCCTTGCATTAGAGAAGCTACCAACAATTGCAGCTGAACAGAAATATAGAAGGGCATATAATGTGAATGGCCTCTAAGTCTATAGGGACATACCTGAACATGAATTTTAGGAACAAATGGGATATGGAAAAGAAGAAGCCATGTCAAAGTGAAAAATAAAGACTGGGAAAAGTGGCTCAAGCAGAATTGATGGCAGAACTAAATAATTAGGACCAGATGGACTTCGACTGCGGCCACCATTTTATCTGGATCAGGGCTTGTTGAACTCTTCAGAGCTGAATTTACAGCCAGAAAGTCAGAACAATAACTGCTCTCCATGAAGTCAACCAAAGAACAAAGTTGTTGTTATGTTAAAACAAGAGAAATTTCTGAAACATGTTTCTTTGTTTAACTGAGAGGTGGGACAACATGGAGGGAATTCAATCCCAAATATGTGTGGAATCTCAGAGTTATTTCTTAAAATCACATCATTGAGCTTGTTTTTCTTTGGTTTGTGCATAATTTTGGGATCAATTCTAGATTCCCATGTAAATGGCTAAAAGAATGTTCTGAGGGTATGATCTTGAATCCTGTGATCTTGAAAACTGTCTTTCTTCATTGTCATCGGCAAATGGTATCCAGCATTCACCAGGGGAACGGTACTATGCTGGCTGACAAGGTTGGTACAAACATATAAACACACATGTATATGTACATATTATATTCACACATTTGTGTATATGCTCATATAATCATAGCTCTTGACATATACATATATGTATATAGGTACATGCATACCACATATGTATATATACCTATATTTACACATATACATCTATATACCGTTATGTGTATATATATAATCACAACTCTGGATGTGTGTGTGTATATACGTGTATGTGTATATGTATGCATGTATCCATCCATCCATCCATTATCTACCCATCCATCCATCTATTTCTCTATCTATCTATCATCATAGCTCTCAATGTGGAACAGATTGCCTCTACTTCAACCCTCTCATTTTATAAATGAGGAATCTGAGGCCTAAGGAGATTTTAGTGACTTGCCTCATTTTGCGTCCCCAGTGCTTATAGCATGGTGCCTGGCACATAGTAGTTGCTTAAACAAATGTTTATTAATTATTGATTGACAAATAGTAGGGATCTGACATAGACTCTTCTATTTCTGATTTGTTCCACAGAGCCACATACCTGGTTGTATGCTTATATAAAGACTGTTTTACAAATTACTTGCTTGGAAACAAAATTATTTTCTCCTGTTTTTCTTTTTTGTGTGTTTGCCAGTTGAGACTTTGTCAACTTATGATTTCATAAGGAATTCAACTTTATCTAATGAACATTTATTACACACTAACTGTGTGTACGACACGGGGCAGAGTAGGACCAGCAAGGACTACAGAACAGTTTATTTTTAATATGATTTGTTCACTCTTTCATAGCAAATCCATAGTGCTTTGCTAATCATTTTTATGTGGTTCCTTCCATCAAGTCAATCAATTAGGCATTTATTGAATTAATTTTGACTACGATGAAAAGCAAAAGTTACTTACATTTGTTTAGTGCATTGAGGTTTACTAATGCTTTCCTCACAACAACACCATGAGGTCAATAGTATATTGGCAGATGAAGAAACTGAGGCTCAGAAAAATTAATTGACTTTGCTCATGGTCACATAGGCGCCAAATATCTGAGCAGGAGCTGGAACCCAGATTACCTAACAAGGATGCCAGAGCTCTTCAGACTCTGCCATATTTCCTCTCAGTTCTATGTTAGATGCTATGGAGTTTGGGAGTAGAAGCCAAAGTTCCTGTCCTCAAGTGTGTGTGAATCCTTGTGATTCTGATATCCTGGTTCCCTCAAAGCTTTGTAAGACATTTCAAGGATAATGTAGATGAAGGAACTTCAGAGGAGGGCACAAGACCACTCAGTGCAGGAAGAGTAATGAGGAATGAGAAGAAACAGCATTTGCCTGAACTTAATAAAGGGTGGCACTGATCGAGTGGGAAGGGAGAACTAGTCAGTTTTTCTTGGTCAACGCAGTGAAACAGTAAGCCAGGAGGCAAGAAAAATGGACGTGTTCCCTCTGCAAGGCTGATGCAGCCTATTATCAGTCCACAGCAGGCTCGGGCCTGGTTCCACAAGCAATAATAAAAACCAGGCCTCCTGTGACCTGTTTGAACTGTAAAAAGCTCATAAACAGGCTTTAAAAAAAAGGAGGGATGGAGACTGGGGGGCAGGTGGAGAAGAGGGGTTTGTCTTTTGTCACTTCAGTCAGACGCTTATTTATTTCTTCTCTTCCTCAGGTCAACTCAAGTAACTGTGATTGTTCAAGTTGCCCCTTCAATATGTGGGCGATGACATTACTTGTCGGGCCACATTATACAGTAAGCATAGTAGGCCCTGGGCCTAGTTCTAAAATAAAATAACATGACATAAAGGGCTTACTTTTTTTTATACTTAAAAAAATCTAGCAAGATTAGAAAGAGTAGATATACAGAGTCAGAGTCATGTCCAAACCAAATTTTTTCGTAAGGTGAAAAATTACCAGTGGATATGCACTTTTGGAGATTTTTTTTTTGTTGCAAAATCAGATATACTTTTAAGGATGCCCTGGCATTCTTGTTAGGTGATCTGGGTTCCAGCTCCTGCTCAGATATTTGGCGCCTATGTGACCATGAGCAAAGTCAATTAATTTTTCTGAGCCTCAGTTTCTTCATCTACCAATACACTATTGACCTCATGGTATTGTTGTGAGGAAAGCATTAGTAAACCTTAATGCACTAAACAAATGTAAGTAACTTTTGCTTTTCATCACAATAAAAATTAATTCAATAAATGCCTAATTGATTGACTTGATGGAAGGAACCACACAAAAATGATCAGCAAAGCACTATGGATTTGCTATGGGTCTGGAAACAGAAGTGCCTTGGTCCTGTGAGGACCTTAATCCTGTCTTAACAATCTGAGCCCAGAACTTTTCTTCTTCCTGGTTTATTTCTCTTATAATTACTACCATGAGGTAAAATTCTCCTGCCCTGTTAGCCAGGAAAAGAGCAACGGACAGGGCTTCTCTAAATCGAGCTGACTACAAAAATATTCTCATATGTATTTAGTACTTTGGAGTTTCCTAATTGGTCTACCCATGTTATGCTGGTCGCCAGAACAGCCCTACATTCCAGTAGAATGTTGGTTTCTTGAGGTCAAAAAGTGTTTAGTTTTTATTTTTGTATCCCCAGTGCTTAGCACAATGCCTGACACATCTTATAAATACTTGCTGAATGAATGAACCCCTGTGACCTAAGGGGTAATATCACCATTTCAAAAATAAAGAAAGTGATAAGTCTCTTTAGCTTGATTTGAACTCAGGTCTTCCTGATTCCAGTACCAGTACTCTACCCCCTGCACCACTCAGCCTCAATATTATAAGTGATTTTAAAGATTACCTTGATGTTGCGTTCAATACCAATGTAATCTGCTTCTTTAGGTATCACCACAAAGAGCTCAGCTTCATAGGCCCCTTCCCCTCCATTCCTTGCATTTACTAAGAGCATTAGATGGTTTTCATCTCCAATGATCAGCTGGTGCTTATCTCTACAAAGAAAGAGTTAAAGGACTAATTAGCTATGGCAGGTCTACAATGGTGGAGCAGGGTGCCCTACTGAAGGCTGCTGTTCCTACCAATGACTTGCTTGGGACTACACAGGAAGGATGGGCCATTGGAAATGTGACAGGTTAAGAATGACAAAAGGCTGACTGGGGGCGGGGGGGGGGGGGGAGAAGCCGCCATTAACAAAAAGTCATTACAATGCACCATTCCTGAAAATGAGAGACAGAAAAAGAGGAATCTGGAAGAGTCAAAGAGGAAAAGGTGGAGAAAAAAGCTAAAACAAATACCCTGATACTAGGATGTGGGGAAGAGTACTCAAGGAAAGCAAATCAGTCAATACAATGAGCCCCAGAGTAACCGAAACCAAGGGTCCTGGCTTTCTCATCCCTTAACATGAAACCAATGGAAGAAACTCCTTAGCTAAGAACTTAAGCTAAGGGACTTGGAAGACTATCACTTAAGAATGGTCCTTTCGTATTTGAGGATTGTTCAAAACTATCATCTTCATAACCGCCCAGCATGGGAGAATGACCTCATAGCCTAAGAAGATGGCCTTTCACAGTTCACAAGGGAGACGCAGCAGGATGATTCTCACAAAGTTGTTGACAGCCACTCTGAGGGTAGGTGTGGAAATCTACCTCCCTCCCCATCCTGTACACACACACACACACACACACACACACACACACACACACACAAATGCACAGTCCCATGCATGCATGCACAGACACACAACTGGATATTCAGACCAGCTGTTCCATTTTCTCTCCTAGTAACAAAATACAATGCAACTTATAAATGCCTAGATCAGTGAGTGCTAACTCATCTTTTAGGAGCTATGACCATTTGATTTTGTCAGAGATCCTTAAAATATATATATATATATATAATTATAAGTATTTATATGTCTATATAGATAGATAAATATCAATTTTATAATTAATCTCCAAATATCTCTTGAGATAACTGGAGCTGCACTTGGGGTGTTACGAAAGCAGGATTGGGGATTGCTCATTATATGCAGGGTGTGAACATGACTGAGCCTCTTCTTATTATGCCTTTTCCATTTGAGCCACCAAATAAATTAGGTTCTTTTCATTAATCAATCTATCATCAAGGACTTATTGAACACTATTGAGTCTCAAGGTCTATCTATCTTCATTGTATTTTAAATATGTATATCTTCATTAATTTAGATACATATGTACATAAATTTAGCTCCTATGCTTATAAAATTGTTTAAAATATGTTATATATATAGAGAGAGACATTTTATATATATACTTAGGCATTATATACAGGTATTATACAGACAACATATATTAATGTACGTATATGTGTGTATGTATGTGTATGTAAAAATATATACATATTTTTCCTCTCCCTGAAGGATGAAACAACTCAGGCAAAATCTCAGGGTGTGTCTCCTGACATAAGTGACAAAGAACTGACCTAAACCACCTCAAAAATTACATGCAGGGATTTTTTTTAAGCAATTGGAAGTATATACTTTCCCTAGAGCAGCTTTAAGTAAGCACCTGTGTTCCATTAGGTATAATACACAAGTTTATTTATTTAAACTTACGGTCTAGCTGAAAGTTTCAAATCAGGAATGCACATATTGTCATCTCCACAGTCCACCAGGATGTGAGCCTACATTTGTTCAAAACAAGCATCAGTGGTCTCTTGGAAAACCTGAATCACTGCCTTCTTTCAAAAATAACTAGAAAGGCCACAAATTAAACAAAGGTGCATCTTACAGTACACACATCTCCACATGGCTGCAAGCTCACCAGCCCTACCAGAGGAGTATAGTTGACATCCTATCTCCTCCCACCCTACCCCCCATCCCAATTCAATCTACAATTTTCATACGGAATGTAGCCCTGGCAATGTCAGGAAGATTACAGCCTGTATTGCTTCTATTACATCCACATTCTGAATGAATTAAATCTGGGTTTCACAAGGGGAAGGGCTTCCGAAAACACAATGATGCAGTTTCAAGAAACATGTCAGAAAAAAATTCCAAACTGTTTACACATTTGCATGCAGGAATTAAATACAAAGAGCTGGGATCTGTTTCAAGGTCACATAAACAACCTCCACGGACTGGTTGAACATGGGCTACTCGAGAGGGGTTCCCGATCATACCTGCTCATTAACAATGCTTTCCCGGTAGAAGTTCAGTATTGGTTTGACAGCGAGGCCTTCCTCAAAAGTGGATTGATCCAAACTGTAATTCAAGCTAATGTTGATTGGAGATAATTTATCTCGGAATTCAGTTTCATCCTGGGGGAAATAATCACAAAATTAAAGAAGGGTCCATTAAATAGCTACAAGATGCTAATCTATGACAGCAGCATGACTTTTTTTTTTAAAAATAAACAACACTGGGTGAATGAAACAATTATCACAGCAACAGGCTGAGAGATTTGCTGATTTATGTGGACTATAGTGGCTAGCAAAATTAAGAGTCTTCCAGAGGTGAAGTCACTGGAAAAATCATCGTGTCAGTCAATGAGCATTTATGTGCTTACTATGTGCCAGGCACTGTGTCTGGGGATACAAAGAAGGGGGGTGGGGGGAAAGCAAACCCACACTCTCTAGGACATCTCTATCTAATGGGATGACACATACAAATGACTCTGTGCAAACACGACACATAACAGGATAAACTGGAGGTAGTATAAGAGGGAATGAAGGCACTAGAATTAAGAGGGATTGGATGAAGCTTCCGGTAGAAGGTAAGATTTTTGCTGGGAGACGAAGGAAGCCAGGAGGGCAAGAAACTGTGATCCTACAGGAACACACACACTCTTCTCAGTCACCCAGACCATCAGCTCTTTACAGGACTTGCTCTCCTCTCCTTACAAGGTGCTAAGCTCCCAGATTCGCACGTGTATGCAATGTGCATAGCATAGAATGAGAACAATCTTTAACAATGTAATTAAAAGTATCATGGACTGGATTCCTAAAGAGGATATAATTTATGAGTTTCTTTGAGATCAGATACATAGTAGGGACTTACTAAATGCTTGTTGAGTATTTAGTAACAATAAGATTAACGATAATAAACATTAAGATTTACACAATCATAGCTTTGGAGCAGGAATCATTGAGGTCATTTAGTCCAACTACCTCGTTTTACCAATAACGAAAGTGAGGCTCCCTGATTTGAGTGACTTGCCCAAGGTCACACCAGGAATAAGTGTCAGAGTTAGGTCGTTAACCTAGGTCCTCTGACTCCACATTCAGCATTGTTTCCATTGAGCTAAGCTTCTACATTTTATGTTTAGAAAATGCATCTGGTCACTCTTCTTTCCAAAGTTACTTGGAGGGCTAATTTGGGGATAGCTCCATTTTACAGATGAGGAAATTAGACTCAGGGAGAAGTGATTAACAAGTTAATAAGCAGTAGACCCAGGCCTCTCAACTTTGCCATGCCCCCTTTTAACTTTTAAGTGCTCAAAAAATGTCAAATTATTATATTAGTTCATCCATGAACTTGTCTGGTTTTGAAGGCATGGGCTGAATCCCATGATTAAGATTTTTCAGAACAAAGGAGATCTAGGAATGGATGAACTTCAAGCTCCATTATGGTATGTTCCTAAATTATTGGGAATAGTAAACATGTTTTATTAGCGCAAGGGGTCTGGACACAGTTTGTGAAACTTTAAAATGGTATTTCTCTTTTATTAAAATATACAATCCTTGTAGGTTGGGACTGTTTTATTCATTGCATTGTTCCTCCTTGAGAACAAAGGACAACCACCAACCAACCAACCAGCCAATCCCCCAAGCCTAGCAGATAGAAGGTGCTAAATACTTGTTGATTCACAAAAGCTAACAGAGATTAAGGCAGCTCTTTGAACCAAATGACGGTTAAGTTGCAAAGAGTGATTGGAAGTTTTACTGGGATTTCACAGTGGTTCTCTGGGTATTGAGAGGCAACAGAGTAGTGGATAGCCTTCAAGTCAAGGGTTCCAGTCCCTCTTCTGATGCATACTGGCTTTGTGACTCTGAGCAAAGGACTCAGTCTCCCAGTGCCTAGTGCACCAGCCACTTGTAGGAATGTGAGTTACAAATCTTTATTGATAGGAGTCTCCTAATCACAAGTAAGAAAAAAAAATCAAACCCTACTGGGAGTAGAGGCCAGAAAAAATGATTTTGGAGAGGCTTACTCGGAGGTAAATAATGAAGTCCTGGCACTGGAGGGATTGATGCTGGTTTATCACTAGAGAGAAGACAAGCTGTGACTGATGATTATCCCTGAAGAGGGTCCTCTTAATGGCTCCCTTCTGTTTCAGTGAATCTAACTGCACGTCAGCTATCAGAGCTACAGGAAAAAAGTAAATTAAACATTTAACACAGAACAAAAACCTTTAATGAACAACATGCTTTGCCACAGACACAAAGGCAACTGTTGCTCCAAGTTGGTGCTTTGGGAAAGAATATTTTAGAATGGGAATCCAAAAAAGAAAAATCCAGGAAACAAAAGTTGATGGAATTTATAAGACATTTCTGGGATTTAATAAATAGACACATGTAATGCCAGCTGATTTTGATGATACAAAATCACAAAAACTCAAATTCAGAGGGGAGATCACAGATGCTCTCATCTCATCAACTTGAAGTTGAACAAGAACTCTCTTGCCACCCACCTGTGAAGTAGCCTTCACTTGCAGACTTCTAGTGAAGGGAAATCCCAAAACTTCTGAGGAAACCCATTTTCCTTTGGGAAGGTCTAATTCTTAAGAAGCTTTCCCTGACATCAAGGCTAAATCTGCCTCTTTGTACCTTCCTTCTACTGCTCTTAAATGTGTCTTTGGGGACCTAACTGACCCAGTCTCATTCATCTTCCAAATGGCAGCCCTTCAAACACCTTATAACAGCTTATGTGCACACCATCCGTTTTGTCTTCTGAACACTAACCAGCCCCAATTCCTTCTACTGATGCTTAGACAACATGATGTCATAACCCTTCGTTATCCTGGTAGGTAGGCTTCTTCTGAATGCTCCCAGCTTTTCAACGTTCTTCCTAAACTATGGCATCCCACATTTGAAACAATCATCTTGATATAATTTAACAAGAATAGAGGCAGTGATACTTTGATTTTCCTTGTACTGAACACTCTACCTTAATGCAGCTCAAGATCAAATTAGCTGTTTGGTATCATATTACACTACTGATTTCTATAAAGCTTGCAGTTTATTAAGCTCCCCAGACACATACATAACACACAAATACACATGCATCTATCTATCTATCTGTCTATCTATATTCTGTTAAATGCCTAACTGGCCAAGTCTTCCTCAATTTGTATTTATGAAGCTGTTTTTGAGCCTATGTCAGAATTTACTTTTATGTTTACTGGATTAAGCCCAATAGTCTAGCTGGTCAGAATATTTTTTGAACCCTTATTCTGTCATATGGGGTGCTGGCTCTCCCTCCTAGCTTTATATCATTTTTAGACTTCATATGTATGCCATCTATATTTTTAACCACATATCAATATTATTTAAAAGAAAACACTTACAAAAGGTTGGTTTTTTTCTCTTGAAAATTTAGAAATACATAGCTACAACACACTCAATTAGAGATTCCCCAGCATAGTCATTCAACTAGTTTCAGATCTAGCCAATTATTAGGTTGGCCAGTCTGCCTCTCTCTCTTTTCCACAAGTAGAATTTGAGAAACTTTACAAAAGTATTTTCCCCTTATTGGGACACTAATGAACTGTTGGTGGAGTTGTGAACCACTCCAACCTTTCTGGAGAGCAGTTTGGAACTATGCCCAAAAGATTATAAAATTGGGCATATCCTTTGACCCAGCAATACCATTGCTGAGTCTGTATCCCAAAGAAACAAAAAAAAAGTAAAAGAAGAAGAAAAAGAAAAAAAAGACTTGTATGGACAAAAATATTTATAGTAGTTCCATTTGTGGTGACAAAGAATTGGAATTGAGGGGATACCCATCAATTGAGGAATGACTGAACAAGTTGTGGTATATGATTGTGATGGAATACTACTGTCCTATAAGAAATGATGACCATTTAGATTTCAGAAAAACCTAGAAAGACTTACATGAACTGATGCAAAGTAAAGTGAGCAGAACCAGAAGAACATTGTACACAGTAACAGCAATATTGTATGGTGATCAACTGTGAATGACTTAGCTATTCTCAGCAATACAAAGACCCAAGACAATTTTGAAGTACGTATGCCGAAAGCTGCTATTCACCTCTAGAGAAAGAACTGATGGAATCTGAAAGCAGACTGAACTATAGTTTTTTAAACTATTTTTCTTGGGGTTTTTTGGGTCTGTGTTTTCTTTCCCATCATAACTAATATGAAAATATGTTTAGCCTGACTGCACAAGTATAACCTTTATCAGATCACTGGCCTTCTCAATGAGGAGGCGGTGGGGAAGGGAGTGGGCAAGAATTTGGAACTCAAAATTGTAACAAAAAAAAAAGACAAAAAAACAAAAACAAAAACAAAAATGACGGTAAGAAATTGTTTTTACCTGTAATTGAAAAAAAAGAAAATATTTAAAAAAGAAAATTAAAAAATATTTTCTCCTAAAATCAAAGTAAACTATATCTATAGCATTCCATTGACCTAGCAATCTAATTACCCCAGATATATTTATGGAAATTGTGAATTTGTCGTAATTCTATCTGTTCATCTTAAATAATACTCAGAAACCTCAATTGGAATCAAGAATTCTTCAGTTTCTGGTCTGGTTTTTGACAAAGCAAATGGTGGAGTGAGGTGGCAGGAAATAGAATTTCATTAATCTATCATCTATATACACATATACATACAGGAATATGAAAAGATACTTACCTACTGTATTTGAAATGCTCTGACCTTCTACAGATGCACACACTCTCAAAGTAAAACTATTTAAAATAAAAAAGATTGTTAGTCTACAAATACCAAATATGCTGAAAATAGAGTTTTCTCCTCCCCAAATAAAAGAAATGAAAGGAAACATCTTAATGTGTCTTTATGCCGTCCTTCAACAATAACAACAAAACAAAATACAGCTCCATCACCATTCTGTCCCAATATTAGGATCATTAGGAGTCAAGAGATCTGGATTCTAGTCCACAGACTGCACTCACTGACCATATGACCTTGCTCAAGTCCCTTCTCTTTTTACTTTCCCCAACTGAAAAAATAAGGATCATAATAGTTTTACTATAAAAATAAGGATAATAATAGTTTATTAGTATAACTGACTTTTTTGAGTTTCACTTCCCTCATCTTAAAAAAATAAGGATAACACTTGCACTATTTCCCTCAAAGAGGGAATATAGTTTATTTTTTATAAATATATTTTTAATATTTTTATTTATATATTTTATAAATTTATAGTTCATGTATTTTTATAAATTTATAATTATAATTTTCATAATTATCATTACACTCATTTTATAATTTTAAGTCTTTATATATTATATTATATATGATTTTATAAGCCTTTTATAATGTACAAATAGCTATATAAAAATGAGCTATTAACATGGATGTGTTTTCTATGACTTCATATGTGTAATGGGTGTCATATTTCTTGCCTTCTCAATGAGTGGAAGAGTAGGGAAAAGGGAGGAAGGGAATTTGGAACTGAAAATACAAATAATTACAAATAAATAAAAGGAGTAGGTCCATAATAGACACACACATACAATAAAGGTGAGCTATTATTTATTCCTTAATGATTAAGCCATTGTTTTGGGAAGTCCTAACATCCTCAGGAATAAGAAGGAATCAGGAAGCCTCTGGTTCATATCTGTGTCCTGAAACATACGGGTAGTAGGACCCAAGGCAAGTCATTTAACATCAAAGTCTCCCCAGGCAAATCTCTGATGTTGTTGTCAATTGCGGAATATTTGCTGACTTGAGCTAGTAGGATTGTTGGAAGGATCAAATAAAATAAAATGTTAAGAGCTTTGCAGGCCTTAAAATACAATATAAAAACTAGATAATAATAATAATAATAATAATAATAATAATGAAATAGCAGTATTAATTCAAGTATCTACCAAATTCAAAAACAGCAAATTATATCTAAACTTATGATAATTGTGTCAGTTTCTTGTGTCAAATATAATGAAAATGTGTCACATCTGGGATTCATATATCTTCTGTGACCTCAGCCAATGCTTTTCTTCAGGGTAAATAATTTGCCACATACCATTAAGAAAAAAAAATTTTTTTGCCTGAGGCCTCACTGCTATTACAAGTGTTTATTCCATTTCCCAAGAGAAATCACAAACTTGGGCCCCACTTCTGTTTCAATTAGAATTACTCGAGTGAGATGAATAATTGATTGTAGCTTGAAATTTCAGACACAAGCTAGACCCTAAGTGGAAAATTTCCTTTTGCTATCTGTCCTTTTTGAATTTTTCAGCTACTCATTAGAAAACATTCCATTCAAAGGTGGATCTAAGTATTATACTCTGGACATTGCTAAATGCCTTAAAAATAGATAATTCTATTTAGTAGTAAAAATCTTGTCAAGGCTAAAATACTGTGATAATTTTTTCTGGTATGGTGTTTTTGGCTAATACCACCCACTTGAAAATGCTTCATTAAAGTGACGAGTTTGAGATCTCTTCTTGTGAGAAATTATATCACTGATGGCATTGCCCTTTGTAGAAGCTATTTAATTACTCATAGGAGGTGTGGTACAACAGAAAGCTCCCTGGATTTGGAGCTAGAGAACTTTGTGTTCAAACATCACTTCTGTCACTTATTATCTGTGGGGCTTTGACAAGTCACCTGACTTTTAGCTCAAGAGATCTACCAGCCTCCGTCTCCCTGGGAGCTGAGATCCCAAGCACATATACCATTCTTGGCTCTTGATTTGAAAGCATTTTAATTTGCTTCACTCAAATTTGACTTAACTACAGCTGATTACTAACTGTAAAGCACAGGTCTACCACTGAAACCTGCCCCATCACGTGAAACCTTTGGGAAGGGTATTTGCCCAGCTATAGAAAATAGCATTGGGTTGGCTTCTATGGCCCAGAAAGCAGACTTGAAAGTCTCCCAGTTAAAAAAAATGGAATGGATTAAACCTTTCATGAATTAAGTTTCTCAAAGGCAAACATATTAGGTTTAATTTTATGGTGCTCCAGGGTGACTTAAAAACATACCATAGATTTTGTCTCCTTTCAGGCCAACCCCCTGATTGCAAGAGACACTTGGAGGGGCCACCAGGGGAAGATGTGGGTTATTTCTACACGGGACCCCTGCACTGATGTGGGCCTACAAGTTCCAACTGGAACTGAAGCCTCTGGTTCAAAGTAGGCAGGCAGTCTGATCGGTAATTCTGATTCAATCCAGTCTCTTTGTGAAGACCCTGCCAAAGACTCTCCTTCCATGGAGACCTTTAAGAATAGGAGACAGAAAACCATATGTCCATGATGGTTTCCATGTGGTCTTGCCTGGAGGTAGGGCAATACATTATATGACCTTCTAGCTCTGTGATTACTAAAGACCTCCTAACCTAGTGCTAGTTGGAAGAAGGAATCCTTCAGCATAGCTGCAAGGATTAGTGATGTGTAACAGAGAAGTAGTTAATTTACAATGAAAAGAGAATATAAAAACACCTGAGACTCGCATTTTTTCCACTGTATCAACATTACAGGCTTGGAGTCAGTAGAATGTTGGGCCTCAGGTCTGGCTCTGCTACTTACTAGCTATGTGATCGAGGTCAAGTCATTTAACCTTTATGAATCTTGGTTTCTTTGTTTTTTCTGTAAAATGGGTATAATGATACATGACCACTCTTAGAGGAATGTTGTGAGGAAATCACTTTGTAAACTAAGTTGTGTTATATAAATGTGAGCTGTAATTTGAACCACTGGAATTTTTTTTACATTAAAACTGTCACAGAAGCATAACTGAAAGTGATCTTAGAGGACATGTAGTCACCTAATACAGTCTTCTTATTTTACAGATGAGTACACTGTGGCCCAGAGAGATTGCCCAAGGTTATACAGCTAGCATGTGGTAGAGGTGCGTTTCCAATCTATGTCCTCACTTCTAAATCCAATGCTTCTTCCACTACACCAAAGAGTTTGTAACTGATTGTTTGCTCCCATTCTCTGGATCATCCAGCCAAAGTTGGAAGGGACCTCAGGGATTATCTAGGAATCGAACTCCCTCATTTTACAAATGAGGAAAATGAGGGCTGAGAACGTTAAGAGACTTGTCCAAAGTGACACAGGTAATAAACACTGGAGATGGAATCGGAACCCAGGTCCTCTTCCTCCAGATCCAGTGTTCTTTTCACTATATCACATGGGCTTTCTCTGACAGATTAAGAAATATTATATGAATACTGGATATACATCCACAATTCTATATTTCCTTTCTCTTCTACTAATTTCAATATGTCAATCAGCAGGCATTTCATACAAGCTACACAGCTGGCTGAGAGATTCAGAAAGCTCCACCAGTGGGACTGAGGAATTATTTGCCTATTGTTGTTGTTATTTATTTGTGGTCAGTTGTGTCCGACTCTGTGACCCCGTTTGGGATTTTCTTGGTTGTCATTTCCTTTTCCAGCTCATTTTACAGATGAAGAAACTGAGGCAAACGAGGTAAAGTGACTTGTCCAGGGTCACATAGCTAGTAAGTGTCTAAGGCTGGATTTGAACTCAGAAAGACAAGTCTTCCTGACGCCAGGGCCAGTACTCTTTTCACTGTGCCACTTCTGTTGTTTGTTATTTGGTGATTTTCAGTCACATCAAATTCTATGTAACCCCATTTGGGGTTTTCTAGCTTGCCCCTATTTGCCTGTTAGAATTTACCTAATTGTTTTCAGAAATATGACACAAGGTTATGTCAAACACAGAGAAATATTACAGAAAAGAAAAATCAGTAGCTGTTCTTCAATCATAAGGGGAAACGGAGTTAAAATTGTAGAAGAACCAGGAAAAAAATCTTCAGGGAACTCAGTCTATGCTAGACTGGATGAAATGGTAATTTCCCTTCTTGTAAGACACAGGGCTAACATAAAAAAAAACAAAATGCTTGTGCACTTGAAAGAAAATGTCTTTCACAGTACTTAGTCATTCAATAAAGCTGTTGAATAAATAACTGTGACATAATGTATTTATTCATGTAATAAATAATATTTTCTACAAATAATATTATCTATCACAGCAGGAAGCTGACTCATATAGGAACTTTTCTTGTTAAAAAGTAATATTCTTTCCACAAAGCAAAACAGTTCGTGGAATCTGTTAAACCCACATAAACCTTATAAAAATACATAAAAAATGAGAAATGCTTTTAAAAGAATCCTTTTCCAGGGCACTACCACGTTCTTCCCAAATATGCTGTCTACAGCTAGTAAAACGTCACCTCCTTGAGTTTTCAGGTGGGATGTGAGCAGTCGGGTGCCTCAGGGTGATCTTTAAAGGGTTAAGATTCCTGCTCAGGTTGTCCTCATGGTCCATTTAGTGTTCGTTTCACCATAAGCAGGGAAAGGATCAACGTGAACACTTTTCATTAATGTTCCCAGTTTCCCAGCTCGTATTTTAGTCATAATACTTGGTGGTTTATAACCCCTCTCATTTTCTTATGGGCTCAGGGTCGCTCCCACATATTGCCAAATGCTGGTAGAGGAGGAGAGGAAAGGTCCAGCCTCTCCTCGGGGGTGGCTCAAGAGTAACAGGATGTTTTGGAAAGAATCGTTCAGGGTCCTCCTTCCCGCCTGCCCTCCACCCTTCAAGGCTTTACCTCCAGCACAGACTCCTGTCCAAAGGCCATCAATAACACTCAAACATCGGCCAGAAATAACTGCTCTGGCTCAGGCTGGACTGTCCTGCATCCTGTCCCTTTTCAGAGCTTCATACACCATTCCAGGAGGCAAAGGAATGGCAAAATTTGAATACTCTAGTTTTTGTTGGCTTTTCTAGGTATCCTAATAATAATGAGACTACCACTAATAATAATAGTTCGTTTAAATACTGCTTTACAAACACTATCTCAAGTTATCCTCATAACTCTATGAGGTAGGTGCCATTGTTATCTCTATTTTAGGGATGAGGAAACTGAGGCAGATAGAGATTAAACTACTTGCTCAGGACTACAAAAGTATTATCTGAGGCTGAATTTGAACTCGAGTCTTCCTGACTCCAGGTCCAGCACTCTATTCAGTGTCCCACCCATATGCTTCTTTGGGGTTTGCAAAGGACTTTTCTTGTATTATTTCATTTATTCCTCACATCAACATTATTATTATTATTATATATTATTATTCCCATTTTACAGATGAGGAAACAGAGGCTCAGAGAGTCTAAATGATTTGCCCACATTCACATAGCTAGGGAATGTCTGAGGCAGGATTCAAACTTAGATCTTTCTGATATGTTCAACACACTAGCCCCATGCCATGTTCTGACCATTTATGGGGTTTGCTAGCAGTAATAATGGCAATAGCAATGATAATGATGATGCATCGTAACATCTTCATTCAGTTACAATAATAAGGCATTGTATCTACCTGTGCAAGCTATTGCTTGCTCACCATCAAACATAATGTTGGCAGCTAGGTGACATGGCGGATAACACTAGATACAGAATCAGGAAGAACTGAGTTCAAATGTGACCTCAGACTTCTTAGCTCTGTGACCATGGTCAAATCACTTAATCTGTATCTGCCTCAATTCTCTCACCTATAAAACAAGGACTATAATAGCACCCACCTCCCAGGATTATTGTAAAGATTGAACTATATAATATTTATAAAGTCTTCTGCAAATCTTACAGCACTATATAAATGCTAGCTTTCATTACCATTGGGGCAGCAAGGCGACACAGCGGAGACAGTGTGCCAGGCCTGGAGTTGGGAAGACCAGAGTTCAAATCCAGCCTCAGACACTTACTAACTGTGTGACTCTGGGCAAATCACTTCACCTCATTTGCCTCAGTTTCCTCATCTGTAAAATGAGCTGGATGAGAAAATGCCATCCATTCTGGTATCTTTGCCAAGAAAACCCCAAATGGGGTCACAAAGAGTCAGATACAACTGAAAACGACTGAACAACAACAAAAGATTACTATTCTTATTGTGGTGGTGGTTATAGAACAATAGGAGCACAGCCCCTTGTACTCTGACCTTCTATATCAGGAATTCTTAGCCTTGACCCATGGGTAGATTTCAGGGCATCCATGAACTTGAATGGGGGAAAAATTTATATTTATTTTCATGAACATTTAAATGAAATTTAGCATCTCTTCTGTCAATTACTTAAAACCTTCCTTTTTAGAAATGACCCACAGGCCTCACCAGCCTGCCTAAGGAGTACATGACACTTGGGCGGTATTTCTCAGTTAGTCAATAAGTATTTACTAATCACCTACTGTGTGCCAGTCATTGGGCTAAGCATGAGATTTATCTGAACTCCATTGAATATAAAGATGAAAGGAATAAATAATAAAAATGCACATTTATAAAATGGATTAAAATTTTCAAAGCACTTGCATACACATTATCTCATCTGCTCCCTCATCACAACACTGTGAGGTAAGTGGTTTTATCACCCCATCCTGTTGAGGAAACGGAGTCTCAGAAGAGTAACATGACTTGCTCAGGGCCATATGCATGCTGGTAAATATTTGAGGCAGGATTCAAACCCAGGTCTTCCCGACTCCAACTCCAGCATTAGAAGTAATGATACATTTCCCCACACTGATTCATTTTCATCCAATTACATAACTTCCAAAGACAGGGAAGGAAAATATTTTATAAGCCAAAAAGACCACACTCCTGCAACCTAGGCACGGGGGACATCATTCTGCCGCCATTCACAATCGGTGTGACTTTAGGGAAGTCAGCTCTTCTCTCTGGGCCCCTTTCCTAAACTTTAATAATAAGAGGCCAGAGTAGTTAGAATTGAAAAGCGCAAAGCCTGTGACACGCCGCCCACAAAACTCCAGAGTGACACTGAACAAAAATATGATACAACCTAGATAATGTGAATTAGTGGTTTTCTAAGTTAATATGTGGGGGCAGGGATCCACTTCTATTTGATTTTGACCCTACTGGGCTAGTTCATCTCTCCTAACTCTAAAACTCTGTTATTCAGTGGTAATAGTTACAAAAACATAGTGTAAGGGGAAAAAAAATTTTCTCAAGTATCATCCCACCTCCATGGGATGACAGTTTTCAACACAGGAAATGCAACCATTTAACTCAACCTTAACAAAAGAGAAAAAAAATACTTTGCCTGAAAAGTGGTCTGAGTATTTTAGTACAGCAACCCTAGAATGCCGTGGACACAGCCTAATTCTGCTGGAGAAGAGAACCAATCTATAGTCACCATGTCCAGCAGAGGTTTTCACTGTGATGGTCCCCCAACTTTTGCTGATCTTCAGTTCTGCAGAGACCCCGGAGGTTGGGGGACTGGCTCTCCAACAAGCCGACATGCAAAGGAGACAGTAGCCGCAAAAATGTCCATATGCAAACTCACCAAGGCACCAATGTGGCAAGGCCGGAGACGTGGCAGGTTTTATTTTCAAGGTTTATAATCACTGGGTGCAGCAGAAGCTGGGCATCCACTGTCACAACAGGTCTTGCTCTGTGGGAGAATATGGGGAGGGAGAGAGGGAGAGAGGGGGAGAGAGAGAGAGAGAGAGAGAGAGAGAGAGAGAGAGAGAGAGAGAGAGAGAAACAGATGCTTAACACACTGAAGGAATGACAGATTGACGATCACATCCCTGAAAACCAATGCTTTGCTTCCAAGTGACTCCATGTCCAATGCTCTAGCCACTGTGCTGTGTCTTATTTGTGTGGTTTGCCCCATGGCCCAACGCCATTACCCCAGTACCTCTGTTAAGAAATCTTCCTGTCTGCATGCACAGGAGGGCATCATAGTCATTAATCATCTTATTGCACATTTGACAACACATGTGAAAATTCAAGATTTGATTCCCAGAGGTAGACACAAGACATCAGTCAGTGTGTGGTAAAAACCTGAGCTAGGAATCTTTGGCGCTCTGGAGTGACTTTTTGTGGGACCAGACTTGTGATTTATTGGTATAAGCTGAGCTCTCTGAGGGACATTCTCTCTACCAGTACGTATCCCAACTCCTCTTCTACAAAGTGTAGTCTTACGGAATTGCTTGGGGGGAACCAAGAGGTTCAATGTTTTCCTTAAGGCTCCACGGCCAGTCTGTAGCAGATGCAGTATTTAAATTCAAGTCTTCTTGACACCAAAGCCAGCCTCTCTTAAGTGATTATGTGAAGAGTTACAGTTATCATCATAGCTTCTGATTCTGATTGTAATGGTAGGATGGTTTTTGTTTTTGTTTTTGTTTTTTAATGTCCCAGTTTGACTATCTGATTTATTTTAATTTGTAGTTTTCCATTCAAATTACGTGGATACAATATTGGTTTCTGTATAACCTGGGGAGGGGTCTTTCTTTGAGCTTCAGTTTCCTCATCTGTAAAATGAAAAGGTTGAATTAGAGGATACCTTCCAGCTACAAATCTATGATTCTTCAAAGAACAGTCATACTCACTGGCTCAGCAGATGATAAAATGGGCAGAGAGGAGATGAGATATGGTGAGTAAGAATATAAGTTTTGTTGTTGTTGTTTAGTTGTTTCAGTCATGTATGACTCTTTGTGACCTCATTTGTGGTTTTCTTGGCAGAGATACAAGAGTGGTTTGCCATTTCCTTCTCCAGTTCATTTTCCAGATAAGAAAACGGAGGCATACAGGGTTAAGTGACTTGCCCAGGGTCACGCAGCTAGTAAATGTCTGAGGCTGGATTTGAACTCAGGAAAATGTCTTCCTGACTCCAGGCCTGGCACTCTCTGCACTGTACCACTGACAGAGAACAAGGAACATTTTTTAATAAGAGTAACCAAAAACCATGGCAGCTAGTAGGCATAGGACTCCAGATGAAAGCCAGGCAGGGAAGACTTGTTCAGCATGCTGTCTTAAATGAGGGCTTAACCATCACCAGATTACCAGGAGTCCTACTGGGAATTTTGCTAAACTCTTTTCTGATTCTCATTTGTACTCCATGACAAAAGACTTTCTTTTACATTTAATGAGATTCCTACTATGGGTACTCTGGGAATGTGATCTCCATTTCCCATGCTATCAGGGAGATTGAGGTCTGCTATGCAGGGAAGTCATCTTGTGAATTTGGGCAGGAAAGCTGGGAATCTTCTTCTCTCTGAGGGAACCAACCCATAGAGCCCCTTTGGGTATTGGTAGAAGCTAGTCCTCTTTTGGCCTGGTGCCCTCAACTTCTGTGCTATGGGTCCTTCAGACAAGCTTAAACAGTTGCAAGAATTCATTAATTTGATAAGTGTTTGATTAGTTGAGGAAGGGTACCATGTCGGGTCTGGGAGATATAAGGACAAAACCAAACAACTCTTTCCCTTAAGGAGTTTATATTCTTGGGGAGATCCCCCCCCCAAAAAAGTCTGTTCACAGATTAGCAAATATAAAATTGTTGTGTTGTTCAGTTATGTCTGGTTTTCCTGACCCCTTTTGAGGTTTTCTTGGCAAAGAGACTGGAGTGTTTTGCCCTTTCCTTTTCCAGTTTATTTTACAGATGAGGAAACTGAGGCAAACAGGGTGAAGTGACTTGCCCAGGGTCACCCAGCTAGTAAGTGTCTGAAACTGGATTTTAACGAAGGAAGATGAGTCTTCTTGACTCCAGGTTCAGAGCTCTATCCACTGCAACCAACACCTAGCTGCCAAATACAAAATCTATCCAAAATTGTGTGTGTGTTCATGTGCATGTGGTAGGGGGTGGGTAGGTGCTAAGATGATGCAAAGTGCTGTGTGTCGAGGGGAGATTAAAAACTGGCAGCATCAGGAAAGTCCTCATAGAAAAAGTGCCTTTGAGCTGAATCTTGAAGAAAGCTAGCCATTTTGAGAGAAGGAAGGGAGGAGGGAGAATACTCTAGGCATGGGGGAACACAGAAAGGGTGGAAATGAAAATGGAAGGTAAGTGAATTTGGCTGGAATGTTGAGCATACGAAGGGGAGTAATTTACGGTAGTAGATTGAAGCCAGATTCTGAAGGGCTTTAAATGTCAAAAAGACAAGTTCGTACTGTATTCCAGGAGCCACTGACATTTGTTGAGCGGGAAAATGAGATGATGAGGCCTATGCTTTAGCAATATGACTTGGCAACTCTGAAGAATATGGATTCAAGATGGGAGAGGCTAGAGGTGGGGAGACCAAGGAAACTTCCTGTGATTGTCCAGGCTAGAGGGGATCAGGGCCTGAACGTGGGCAGTAAAGCAGAATGGACACAAGTGAGAGATGGTTTGGACAAAGGATTAACAAGACTTCAGTCATGGGACATGGTGAAGGAGAGTGAAATGTTGGTGGTGATTGAGGTGGCCAATATCAGTGATTTGAAAGCAGCTGCTACCCTCCACGGAAATAAGGAACTACTCGGGATTTACTGACTATATAATTGGTTTAGGCTCTGTGAGCCTGACTTGTCACTGCTGGACATACCCCGAAAATCAGTACCTTATCCCTGTGGCCTACTATTTATGAGAAGAAAGGACCCAAGATGTATTTCTAGAAATGTTTTTTCCCCTCTTTGCTCTTCTATAAATGCACATGGAAATACAGCAGAGGCAGGAGGACAGAACTGAATGAGTGAAATCTAACGTGGATCACATAATAGTCTCCTAAGGTTCATGTTTTGTTTGGTCATAGATAAGAATGAATTGGGGGTGGGGTCATATAATATGATATTACTCATTACTACCAACATTACTTCTGGTGCTGGTACTACTCCCACTACTACCATTACTACTGCTATGACTATGGCAGGGGCTACCTCCTGTGTGAAACCTGTGATTCAGCTCTCCCTCCTAGTTATCAGTGTTCTTTCTCTTTTCAGAAAATAATAGAAAAATAATAGCTAGCATTTATATAGTTCTTTAAAGTTAATAAAGCACTTAGCAAATACTATCTCATTTGGTCCTCATAATAGCCCTAGGAAGTAGGTGCTATTGTTATCTCCATTCTGCAGATAAGGAAACTGAGGCAAACAGGTTACACAGCTGGTGACTTGCCCAGGGTCACATACCTCGATTCTTCCTGATTCCACGTTGGTCCTCCATCTACTTCACTCCCTAGTTGCTGTAAGTCCTTTCACATTTTATCTCTATATGTTTTATAACTTCCTTCCTAAGTAGAATATAAGCCCCTTGAGGACAGGGACAGTTCCATTCTGTTTCAAAAAGTAGGTGCATTGTAACAATTTGCTAAATTCACAACTCATTGAGAATACTAAGTCATGAATGCAGAGATCTCAATGAAAATAAAGCAAACAAGCAAGCAAGCATAAAACCATACAACCCTAGTCTTAAAAAAAAATGAAGGGGTTTCCAAAATAAATATTCGAAATATTTGGAAATCTCTGAACGAGCACTTCCTTAAATGCTTTTTTAGTCTAATGTAACACAGAAAATTAAACAAATTTGAAACCACATGAATATTTGCATACCATGAACCACATACCTATAAACAACCACTTTTCCAGTTCCAAAGGCACCCACAATTAAATCTGGAAAAAAACATATAACAGTTTTTATAGTAGCCATGTTTCAAAATCTTACTCATCACTTGTGTATGTAACATGCTGAAATGATCTCTTTCTCTCTCTCTTTCTCGCTTTCTTTTTTTTGGTAGAACTGCTACTTCATCAGTGTAGGGAACTCCAAGAATGGAAACTTCCTTCCTGTATGCACATTGGTGACTCTACTGCAACTTATGGTCTAAGAGAGTTGCCTGGGGCAACTGAATATGATGAACAATATCACTAATTTACTAATAAATTAGTAAAATAAAACAGAATGCTTCTAAAACATTCTGGATCATAACGCAATTGACTACGGCACCCAATTCAGTAGAATCATGTTCCATTTGGAGGCCCATTCAATAAGATTCTGTGATTGATTGAACATAGGTAGTGGAAAGATCTCACTGTAATATGGTTTTGCTTTTCATCCAATAGTTTAATATACCCCTCAAAGACAGCATTATTGTGAGCTTTTCTGCAAGGAGAAAAACTGTTAACAATTCAAATGAGGAAAACAATCATTAGTTTAAATCATTCTATCAATTCTGTTAAAGAAGCCCTGAGAAAAAGTGAAGGGAAAACGAAGGGAATCAGCATTTATATAATGCCTACTATGTGCCGGGCACTATGCTAAACACTTTATGAATACTGTCTCATTTCATCCTCACAACAACCTGGCAATAATAGGGGGCCGCTTTTTAACTTCACGGCTTCCTGACTCCAGGCTCAAATCAGATTGTCCCTAGACCCCAAACTCAGCACTCTAGCCATGGTACACAACCGTGATAATTAAGGTCACAAGTTTCTACATGAATCTATTTTGCCTTCACCAAACATGTCTATATAAAATTCTCATATTAATCTCACCTTGTTCTTGTATAGTTTTAATTCAAAATACTTTCACAATTATCTCGTTTCTTTACTTTTCTTTTCCTAGCTCTTCCAGTAGAACAATAATTTCCTTTCACACCAATGGAAGATGCTGAACTAACTTGAAGAAAGTGAAGGTTCTATCTCAGAAACTACAGACCGATCTTTCTATAGAATGATGATCTAGACAGCTCTATCTTGCATAATCAGCCAAGCATTTATTAAGTTCTTACTTTTTGCCAGGCCCTGTGCTAGATACTGAGGCTACAAAGACAATTAATGGAATAATCCTCACTGGCAAGGAGCTTATAGTCTAAGGGGACAGATGAGGACATACAAACAGAACAAATATAAAGAGAATGAATACACATACATATGGAATGATTAAAGGAGGTGATTTCAGATGGAGGACAAGAGCACTTGGGATGGGGAGGACCAGGAAAGGTTTCATGTGGAAGTTGGTATTTCAGATGCATCTTGAAGGTAGAGAGGGGTCCTTTGAGGCAAAGGTGAGGTGCGAATATATTTGAGGCAAAGAAGATGGCCCGAGCAAAGAAACTGAGAAGCGATGGAGTCTCCTGAGTAGAAAGCAGAGAAAAGGTCAGTTGGGTTGCAGAGAAGAGTGAAGGAGTGGGGATAATATCTAATGGGGCTAGAGAGATACGTTGGGAAAGATTGTGACAGCCTTTAAGAGTTAAACAGGGGAGGTTATATTTTATCCTAGAGAAAACAGAGAGGAACAGGAGTTGTTTAAATAGGGAAGCGACCTGGTCAGACAAGCCAGTTAGATGGTGTGGTGGATAGAGTGCTGGCTCTGGAGCCAAGAATGCTCATCTGCCTGAGTTCAAATCTGTTCTCAAACACTTCCTAGCTGTGTGACTCTGGGCAAGTCACTTAACCCTGTTTGCCTCCGTTTCCTTATCTGTAAAATAAGCTGGAGAAGGAAATGGCCAACCACTCCAGTATTTTTGCTAAGAAAATCCCAAATGAGGTCATGAAGAGTGAGACATGATTGAAACAAATGAATAACAACAAACATGGTCAGATATGCATTTATGTAAAATCACTTGGACGTGATGGACTGGAAGAGGGAGATACGAAGCAGGAACACAAGTTAGGAGATGGTTGTAGTAATCCAGGTGAGAGGTAACAAGAGCCTGAACTAGGATAGAAGCAATGTGAGTAAAGAGAAGGGGCTGGATGTGAGAAATGTCGCGCAGGCATAAACAGCAAGATTTGACAACAGATTAGCTACATGGAGTGAGAGTAAATTAGGAGTCCGGGAAAATCGAGGTTACAAACCTGAGAGATTAGAAGAGTGGTGATGTTTTCAACAGAAATAAAGAAGTTTGGAAAAGGGAATGATATAGGGGAAAATAATGAGTTTAGTTTTAGACATGTTGAGCATAGTCCCTGGGACATCTAGTATGAAGCATCCAATAGGTGACTAGTGATAAAAGACTGAAGTTCAGAGAAAAGAGGGGCTGGATACCCAAAGCTCTGTGAATCATCTGCATGGAGATGATAATGAAGCCCACAGGAGCTGATACGGTCATGGAAAAAGAATGGAGTGAAAGAAGAGTAGGAGGCCTAAGTCAGAGCCTTGAGGAACACCCACCGTTGGTGGGGGAGGCAGGAAGGGACATGATATGGATAATGAACCATTAAAGGAGACTGGGAAGGAGTGGTCAGACAGGCAGGAGAAGAACCTCTAAGACAGTGTCATGGAAGACCAGAGAAGAGAAATTATTCAGAAAAGGGTGGTCACCATCATTAGAGAAAGAGCTCTAGAAGGATGAGGAGTGGAAAAAAAAACAAAAAAAACAAAAACACCAGATTTGGCAACTGAGAGATGGCTTATAACTTTGAAAAGAGCAGTTTCAGTTCAGTGATGGGGTTGGAAGACAAATGGCTAAGGGTTGAGGACTGAGAAAAGAGCAGTGGAGGCAGCTGGAGTAGGCAGCTTTTTTTTCTAGAAGTTTGGCTGAAAAAGAGAAACCACATATGTGACAGCATCCTGGGGATGGTAAGGTCTAGGGAGGGTTTTATAAAGATGGTAGAGGACATTTAGGCATGTTTGAAGGCAGTAGAGAAATGAATAGGGAAAGATTGGAGATTAATAGGGGGTGGTGATTGAGGCTGTAATCTGCTGGAGAAAAATATGCTTTAGAAAATTTATTTTGTTCTCTCCACTTTCCTTCTCTCTCTTTTTCCTTTTTTATTATTCCTATTTTCTTTCTTCTCTTGCTCTTCCAATTCTTTCTCTTTTGGTCTTTTTTTTCCTTCTCTTACTCTTTCCTATCTTTTCTTGCTCTCTTTTTCCCTTCATCTCTCCCCCTCCCCCAATAAGGTGAACTATTTAGAAACATATATTGAGTGTTTAAAGATTTGAAAATCAACTGTGAGCATAGAATCTCTGGAAAAAAAAATAAGCAAGAGAACAAGTTAAATCTGATTCTGCTGATGAAGGCAACAAAGAAAAGACCCATTTGGTGAGAATGTATGGTGTGAAACCTGGGTACATTCTAGTGAATTTGCATATTCTAAACTGAAATTTTTCAGGAAGAAAATCTACGTGTTACTTTGAGGTGTGCTTTGAAAGAAGATACCACATCCAAGGGTAAGACACAAACAGCAGGACTTTGGTTCCACCAGAACACTCAGAACAAACTAAATGCAATTTAAGAAAGTGCCTGTTCTATGCAAAAAGATCCCAGGCTTGATCCTTAGGACAGTAAATAAAGAGGGTTTATTTTTTCAGGAATCTTTCATCTCAGCACCCCAGAATGGGAATTTTTCTATGGTGAAAAATGAGTCCTGGCCGCATTACAACACAATTTTCTATATGGAAATGTGGCTATGGTTATCTAAGGTCCAAAAACTCAGTTAGTTATTAATCCCGGAAAAATGCTTGTCTTCTGAGACACCACCTTGGTATTGTGCCTGCTGGAAGGGGTTAGACATTGTTCATGCTCAGACCCTAGGCCTTGAGAGCAGAGGAGAACTGATTTGTTGACTTGCATTTCTGCCCAATTGATTTTCTTCCCCTAACTGGGAGATTGGCTATGATGGCCATGTTGTGGTTCACATATGTATTTTTTAAATGATCTTAACTTTTTGTTTTTGGCAAGCAGGGCACATATTTCAATGTCTCGGGGCTTAAATGATGATTTGGAGGCTGATCAATTGTGGTACTAACATTTAGATTCATAACTCCACATTCTTTCTCTATCACCATGAAATAACAGGTCTCAGATTTTTATCAACTGCCTGTTTCCTTTCCTTTCTTTCTTTTTTGAAAGAATTGTCCACAGGCAGGTTCTTAAAAAAAAACAAACCAAAAACCTTTACACTTTCGTGTTTCTTTTCTGGGGAAAAAAAACTGAGTCTGGCAAATTACCTTTGTTATCTCCCCTCAACAGAAAAATAAAATGAAATGAAATGGAGTTCTAAAATGCTAGGTTTTTGGTGACCCATCTCATTGCTTAAAATGTTTATTTTCCTTTCAACTTTTCTTGGATCCAGTGAATATTTTTGCTGAAACCAAAAGGGGATGCAGATTTGGACAAAAAAATAACTCTGAAAATGTGAGATCACAGGAGAAATGTATTACTCGCATGTTTTGTGTCAATCTCCTCCAAATTTGCATTTTTCTATTTTCAAGAAGAAAGAAGCCAAGCTTTGAAACTGTTGCTTGAAATGGAGAAGTCAAAGTCTGAGGTTTCACCAATCCACCAAGGGAATTGTTAAAGTTGGAGGTTCTCCAACTAGAAAAGACCAGCTCTGTTTCGAGCAGACAGGTAAGGAGAACAAGAAGGAGATTAGGAGGCCTGAGAGAGTGGGTAGCAGGAGTTGGAGGCCACAGGAAGAGAGGTGGGAGATGCTAAACAATCATCTAAAATCATTGCATGGAGGGGAATGGGTTTCTTGGAATGCTGGTGGCCACCCATAAGCCTTTATCTCTTCCTATGAGAGGTCTAGTCCTCCTACATATGGGGGAATGGGGTAATATGGGGGGACCACATTAGAGATCAGGACAGGGATAGAGACGACCTGTCATTTCACTGATGTGAGGAAACTCCCTTGGCCAATGCACGTCAGCATAGTTAGAGCAA